AACGTACGAATTAATGAATCTGTTCAAGGATTTTACCAGGAAAAGGGATATTCCGTGCATTATCACCTTTTATTACAGGAAATATAACGTCCATATTTATTCCAAAATTCTGCTGAAGGAAATAGCAATAAATTTATAAGTATCCTTGAAATAGATCGTTATATCGACTAAGAATAAATGACAATCTTTTAGAGAAAATGCAGCTCCATCATGAGGTCTAGAACAAGTTTGTGGATAATATTGAATGTGTAATGTAAAAATGAAGATTTAAACCTAATTCACGAAATTATAGAAAAGTAGAAAAAATTGCAGGAAATGTTTCCCTAATGTTAAGCGGAGTGTATTTGAAATTTAAAATTCAATATTGATTCATTCTAGCGGCAAATAGGTACTTATCCATTTTAAAAGCAATGTTTCTTGTTTAGAAATCTAGTTGTGAGCGGTGCGCATCGACACACGTTTGTATTACACTATGTAAACTATATTCTGGGACAAATTATATTCGAGGATAACCGAGCATCAAGGTAGTAGCCGTCGTATGTTCAATATCCTTACATATCCAGTCATTTATGCTACATAAATTCATGCCAAACGACTGGCGGACAGTGATAAAGACTTTAAAATGTATGATTTCAATTCCCACACCTGAAACAATCGTTAGAAGTCCTAAATATTTTCAATGAAAAAAAATTTGAATAAGCAATGCTTAACTAGTAACGTCATTTGTTCTTATCAAGTTGTTAATCTTAAGGGTTTTCAGTGCTTATTGATTCACTTCAATTTGTCCTTTGTTCGGTACATTTTGTTTACATTATTTATTTTAAATTTTGTTGTTAAGAATGTTTATAAACGTGTTCTAGATCCAGTGAAGAAGCATGCCTATATGATGAGTTGCCACTCAAATGCACTCTACATGCTTTGTTACGTTTTAGTGTTGATTTTCAGCAGGATTTAGATTCAAACTACCAACTCACCCTAATTCTTGTGACTTCACAATCGATGTATCGGACAATTTCAAGGAAAATTTTCATTTTAATTCATTTTCCTTTATCAAAATTTTGAAATAAATATGAAATTTTTCCTGTAATACAAGGTGAAATGGCATGTAACGGCAGTTTTCCGCATCATATCGATGAATAAATATATTTTCTCGAACGTTCGTCATCAGAAAACATCGTATTTTATCCTCAACTTGAACTAGACTTTATAACTCATTTATCGAGCCAATAAATTCTGTGATAAGTGTATTCGGCATCATTCGCATCAACCATTGGGTGCGCCACAAAGAGCTAAGTAGCTTCAATATTCCAGAGTTGAACTCAACTAAAAAAGCAAGTTCAAGCATTAAAACGTTATTAAGAAATTAAAATACTATTATTGCCTTAAAACGCTTTTAAATAAAACCTATTTACTAATCTTTATCATAGTGGCGGAGTGATATGAACGCCACGTGGAACACATCGCGGGTTTGGCTTGCAACTTATGCAAGTCGCTTGTGGTTTCGAACACTTCACTTCGGAACGCTGAAATCAATCACAATTTTGTCTTTGGCTTCATCTTTACTACTCACGCTGGTATTGTTCAATGTGACGACCACCTACATTAGTATCATCACTACCGAACTTCATCATCGAGAGCGTCAACAGATCTATATCAGATCTATCAGAGCCTCCCGCGCTATCGATATAAATTACAGGTTGGTCATAGAACTTGGAATTTGATTTCAATTGCTTTCCAAAAATTCTTTCGCTTCTCTAACAAAAGGCGACAGGTAAAGTCAAACGTTATTCATATAAAATACAGGTAAGGCTGTTGGTCATTAAACTTGAAATTTGATTTTAATTGGTTCTCAAAAATTTCTTCGCTTCTTTAGTGGCAAGTTAAGTTAAACGCTATCGATTTAAATTACATAATAAAGTCAAACGCAATCGATTTAAATTAAATAATAAAGTCAAACGCAATCGATATAAATTACATAATAAAGCCAAACGCTATCGAAATAAATTACATAATAAAGTCAAACGCTATCGATTTAAATCACATAATAAAATCAAACGCTGTCGCTTTAAATAGCATAATAAAGTCAAACGCTATCGATTTAAATAGCATAATAAAGTCGAACGCTATCGATTTAAATTGCATAATAAAGTCAAACGCTATCGATATAAAATACAGGCTAGGCTGTTGGTCTTGGAACTTGGAATTTAATTGCAACTGGTTCTCAAAATTTCTTTCGCTCCTTTAATTAGCGTCGGCAAGTAAAGTAAAAATTAATTCTTTGTAGTTCATGGTATGAATTAGATATTATTCGAAATAGCCTATGACCCATTCAAACAGGTAACGTAAAGAGGAATCGATTCTACTTTAAGGGATTTTAAAATCATTTCTTATTCGCTATTTCTGCTCTCTTGTTCGCCATGAGCCGCGTTTTAAGTGTAAAACGATTCTTGGGAAAGAAATGATGATAAACGAAGAAAAATTTCAAGTATTTTTCAGACATAAAAGCTACGAAAAAAAAATAATTTTCCACCAAATTTTCGTGGCTTCATTATTTCGATATTTTTTAAACGGGACGATCCGCCTAACCAGTTTCGTAACTCCACATAATTTTTGTAAACTCTACCTGCAAAATTTCACATCCGATAATTAATTACTGAGTAAAATTGTATTGTCGCTTAGCGCTCTAATATCCTTTATGATCCTTCAACGGCATTAACAATAGACATATTCTTTGTGTGAAAGAAATTTTGACAAGAAGAGTTAGTTCCATGAAATTGTTAAAAAAATTTATAAGATTAAAAATTATTTTTTGAGACATTACCTGACTTTTTTCAGGACAACTGAAAATTCGAGAAGAGTGTCGGATTTAATTCCAGAGATTGAAAGGAAAATGGACGCAAAAATTTTCTTACTCTGGACACAAGTGCGATCAGGATCCTCTTTCACAATGGATTTGTTGTCTTCCATTCCAAGAACTTTCACAACTTCCGAACCGGTACTACGAAAACTCCATTTCAAATTCCCTTCCAACCAATCGGAAATTTATTTATCAAATTATCTACAGCAAGTGATGCTGTGCAATTTTGATGTCGACCCAATGTATGAAAATCTTTTCCCTCTAGATTATTGTTTCAAAAATCAACGAGCTGATTCATCTCTGTGCGCTGAAAAAGAACTGAACAGCTTCCTGTGCAAGAGGTCGAAGAACCACCTCCTGAAGGTGGTCACGCTCAAGCTGAGCGTCGCTTTGGACATCATGAAGAACAACCCGAACTTGGACATCAGAATAGTGCATCTTGTTCGGGACCCAAGGGGGATTATTCCTTCAACAAATTATTTGAAATTTAATGGTTTTCCGCATTCAGCTGAATTATTTTGCTCGCGTTTGAGAAGCGATTTAGAAGTTGAGACAATTTTTAAAACATATTATCCCGACAAGTACGTACGTATTTTGATTTAATGATTTAAATTTTTAAAATATAATGATTTAAATTCTAATTATTCATTAATCTTATTGAAATTTATCATTTGTGAAGTCACTCATCAAATATTCGCTGAATATTCCATCACTGACATAATTGAATTACTTGGAACTGAAATAATTAATATTATTAAATTTTATGATAATTTATTGACATTTCAAATTCCAGATACATTTTGGTTCGCTACGAAGACTTGGCTCTTCACCCTTTGACTTGGACGAAGAAAATACTGAAGAAACTCGGAGAATCTTTATCTATCGCCACGATAACACACGTGCAAAGAATCACCAAAACAATGTCTGTTGAATCCAACAGACATTATCGCTCCACGTATAAGTTCTCGGCGACACGTCCGTTCCAGTGGAGAAATCTTTCCATGTTTTCCGACGTGCGGGAAATACAAAATAAATGCAGTGATGTCCTCGCGCGGCTTGATTATAGAATTTTTCAAAACGATGAACAGTATAGAAATTTTTCTTATGGCATACTTCTATAATATATTTTATTATAATATGGCAGAATTTTCTTGTTTATATGCGTACAATTACAATGAAGAACATATATTTTAGTATAGAATTTTTCTGAACGATGAACAGTATAGATAATTTTTATTACGGCATTCTTCTGTAATATATTTTAGTGTAGAATTTTTCAGAGCGATGGACTGTATAGAAATTTTTCCTTTCGCATTATTCTGTTATATGTTTTACTATAAAAATTTTCAGAACGATGAACAGTATAGATAATTTCTCATGGCATTCTTATTAATATATTTTAGTAAAGGATTTTTGAGAACGAATGAACAGAATAAAATTTTTTCTTATCGCATACATCTGTAATATATTTCAGTATAAAACATTTCAGAACGATGAACATAGAAATTTTTCTTATGACATTCTTCTGTAATTTATTTTAGTATAGAATGTCAGCTAATATATTATAGTATAGAATTTTCAGAACGATGAACACTTTAGAAATTTCTCGTAAGACGTACCAACGTTATTTATTTAGTATATACTCGTATTTCAGTGAAGAATTTTTCGAAATGAAGAACAGAATAGACATTTTTCTCATGGCATGCCCATGTAATTCTTTACGTGAAGCTTTCAGCGAAAATTTTTTCAGAACGATGAATACAAAATACATTCTTCATTAGCATACTTCTGTAAAAAGTTAAGTATATCGGAGCACAACAGTTACTTTAAAAATGTATCAAGATTAGACAGATTACTATGAGTAAATTCTAGGTACGTTTTTATTTGGAATTCCGTATTGAGTGGGTAATAATAAATGATCGATTGCAGTAAACATTTATTCTCAAATTAAGAAAAACAATAAATAAATATGAATGAAGGCTATTCACGAAAAAATAATATAATGTTGGAATTTTTTGACACGCGCGAGTCCTTAAATAAGAGTCCAGCAGACTGATTGAGTCTCCCAAAAAATATTATTCAGTCTGATTTGCTATCCGTTTCGCCTTCCCAGGTATACAATCATTCAAGTCTTGTGTTTTTAATGAAGAACATCGAGATATTGAGGTGCCCTGGTATCCTTTATGATCTGTTGGTCCAGCGTAAAGTTCAAAGACTCATTAAGTTTGAATTATTCATTGAAGTAATTGATAGACCAAAGTAAGTTTTTATTTAAAATATCGTTGAGTCATTTTGGAAAAACTAATGGATTATAAATAATACGTAAATCTTGAATCCCTGCAAAGCTTCTATGCATTCTCAGAAAACCTACAGACCATAGATATCACTTACTCCTCAAATACCCTAACGTTCTTCATAAACAACACAATTAAAGGAATGCTGGGGATTTCAAAGATCCCTAAGGATCCAAGAAAAACAATGGATTTCAAGGATTATGAATCCATAGGGATCCTAGAAAAACCGTAGCTTTCTACTATCATGAATCTCTAGGGTTATTACAAAAACCCTAGATTTATAGGATCATTAATCCATAGGGATCCTAGAAATACCGTAGATTTCTAGGATCATGAATCTCTAGGGTTATAATAAAAACTCTAGATTTCTAGGATCATGAATCTCTAGGGCTATTAGAAGAACCCTAGATATCTGGGATCATGAATCTCTAGGGTTGTTAGAAAAACGCTAGATTTACAAAATCATGAATCTCTAGGGATCCTAGAAAAACCCTAGTTTTCTATGATCAAAAAACTTGTTCTCAGTTGTATCCGCTGAACCTCTGACCCTCAGAGCGGGTTGACTGCTGGGCGTTGGCCCTTGCAGCGGCAGCATCTTCTTCAGCCGCCTTCGCGATCTGATCCAAAACAAACTGAGGAATTTCGTGGGGGAATGCAGGAGCAACAGGAAGCCACGAAGATTGGGGTTGGTATCCTCCAGCAGCGTCGGCTACGTAGGTGAGCTCGAATTCCTCTCCTGTAGGGAACGTGAACCTTACGGAACCTGATTTTTCAATAGCCCCATCAGGTCCGGTCGGGGCACCTGATTCAGAGCGGAAAATGGCATCACCAGTTTCGGTATCCACGCGGTAACGACCTTCGGAGTCCGGGAATTCGATGTCTGATCGCAGGATCGGGATGAAATCTTCGGATCTGCGTGATCCAGAGTCGGATCTCAAACCTGGAGCGTTGTAGTCGTACTGTGGGCGACAGGCGGCCGAAGCCACGAGGCAGGCGAAAATGATCTGAAAATTATAAAAAAATTTTACCGTGATAATTGTTTTCCTCAACTGAGAAATAGTTTCTTAAAATTAATCTGCCACAGGATATTTAAATAATTTCAATCCAATGTAAAATTCAGGTAATGCAGATACTCTGCATTCATCGTCTTCAGCTAAATTTAAGCAGCCCATTATTTATTTTCGAAAATTTGTACTATTTGAAAAATTTTCGGTTTCCTCGAAAAAATTTGATAATTATGTAGTAAAGTCCAAAACAATTAATTGAACATTTAATTATTAATTATTTTGTATGTAATATATTTATATTTATTTTGTAATTTTATTCGGAACAGAATAGCAATTTAATTATTATAACCTATTCGATTAGAACTTATTAATTAAATTAATTGATTAGGATCTAATAAGTTAAACTAACTAACCTACCCTAATTCAACTGGTAATTAGAGACAACTAATTGGACGCCATTAATTGCTGGAATAATTATCGCAGTGAATTTACATCGTGAGTTCAACAAACGACTTTTAATGTTGAAATAGTGTAAAAGGCGATGTTATTTTAATACGAACATTTATCGTCATAGAAACACGAAAAACAGCAGCATTGCTGATCTTATACCAATTAATGATGAACATTGCGCATAGGATAGAGTTGTAATGGGAATGTTGAAATATTTACAAAATGAAATTATTAAAGATTTTCACAAATTTGTTAACTATGTCATGAGAAGATGCGAAGTAGTTTTAAACTTCAAATTGAGCGATGGAATCGTGCACTTTAATGATAATATTATAATATTTCCAAGTTGAAATTGGTAAACGAATGGAAATGATTGGTAAACCATATTTTTCGAATACATCGTGCATTTTAATGATATTATAATAATAATTCCGAGTTGAAATTGGTAAAAGGATGGAAAGGATTGGGAAACCATATTTTTCAAATACATCGTGCATTTTAATGATATTATTATAATATTTTCAAGTTGAAATTGGTAAAAGGATGGAAAGGATCGGGAAACCAAATTGTGCGAATACTTACAAACTTCATATTGAGCGATGGAAGCGTGTGTAGTTAAGAAGGTTCAGAAGATAACTGATGCAGTTGATCGTGATACAGCCTCCTTATATAGGCTGGGAATGATCTGACACCGCACCCGCTGACCTGACCTTGAAGGAAACGCTATCCTTTACCCAAGAGGGTAGAAAAAACCTGAAAGGATAACCAGACTACTTTCCAATCTAGGATAGGCTTGCCAAACTGATGACTTAGCTGGCGAGTGAGCAGACCTTGGAATCAGATGGCTTTGGAAACTAGGAGATGCATAATTGAGTTTAGTCTTGTGTCGAAAAAAATTTGATTTAGTCTTAAGATGAGAAAAAAATTTGATGAGATTCACAATTATGGTCGAAGTGATTTATTGCAGTATGTGTAAATGGGACTTTAAATGAGAGTGTTCAAGTACGAGTAAAATACAAGAACATCTATGTTTAAGGTTTTTGGTGGCTGAAATATAATTGGAAATCAAGTAACCAAGTAATTGTTGATCTTCTAAGCTAAAGGATAATAAATGTCATAATTTAGAATTTGGAAGAATAAACATTTGTTGAATCATCGAAGATACATTAAGATGTCATTGTTGAGTAAAAACAGAATGACATGCATTTCATCAAATGTAATTAGCAATTATTTATGTCATATATATCTTCATAAAGTTTATGTAGAAAATGATGTTTGTTTTCTTCTAATATCGCTATAATTTTTAGCGATTGAAGTTTAAATGAAGTTCATCACTGTCGTTTCTATATAATGGGTCATTTTTAGTGCGTTTTTTGTAGGTTTGAATAAAAATAATATATAAGTTAATTTTTAATATGTTAGTTAATTTTAGTCTCCAATTATTAAAATATTATGTCCTATGATAATTTCTAGAAAGAAATAAATGGCATACTCAATTTAATTAATTTCCTTATTAATTAATTATTTCTAGAGAGAAATAATTGGCATACTTAATTAATCAACTTGACCTCATGCCTAATTGAGGGTTTGCGTCAGGATAATAGCCTGTTGCCTATTGGCCTAAGGGCTAAGGGTGCAGTCCACGCTCTTGTCCTTAGAACTTCTGGGAGATCAAGGGCAACAAGGACAGCATTTCCCAGCAACAAGGGCAAATGCATCAATATGATGAAAATCCCCGCATCTGAGGCCGATATAAGTACTCTAGGGCCTATACTTTCAAAAAAAAGTTAAGAGATCGTAAGTTCATCAGCCAATCATTGACGGTCTTTCAAGCAAAATCCACCAATCATAGACAAGAAAATAGAGCGTAAGTACTTACGTTCACTTAGCGAGCTTTGAAAGTATGGCCTTAGGTTAATAAGTTTCTCTGGAATTAATATTCAAGGTTACCATCCAGGTCATCTGAAACTATCATCCGAGAAATCAATAATTTATTTGAAATTAACAATTATCTGAAATTACAATTTCCCCCTTCAATAGTCGACACGAGGGCCTCAGGTTTTGAAAATTCGTCTGAAAATTTTTGACAATGAAACTTTTGTCTGAAATCACAATTCGAGCAATCTTGGTTAAAAATAGTGAAACGATAAAAAAACAGACAGTGTAACCGCTGATAACAATAAAGTGGATTTTCATTGATAGCAATCGAGTTCACTATTATACAGCATTTAGTAGAGATTATATACAAAGTTCTTTTATTGAGGCCATCAGATGATCCGTTTTGGCAATTTTTTTCGAAGTGACTAGTTTGAAGAAGTTCACTTATACGAGTATACATGTAAAAAGAAATATTTAATGGCATACCAGTCCTATTTTCCTACTAAGAATTGGCTAATATAAATAATCAATTTTTGTATTTATTATTGAAAAAACCTTTGATTTGATCATTCCGTTTATCAAAAGTTATACTCAATGAACTCGTGCCAGCGCGTACAGGTTTTTTTACCGTTGTATGAGGCTGGTAGCTGCACTCACCCAAATGAGTGAGATAATTTCCAAATTTCGATGCACCTTTTGTCCTTGTGTGTGTCATTCTGACACAGTTTGACCAGGTAATAGTGAGTTTCAGCGCTACGTACGAAAGATCTGTGCGAAAAGAACTGGACGAAAGTGCGTTACTTATTTGACAATATAACACAATAATTTATTCTAAGTCTTTCTACGGCTATCCCTGTATCCTCGATAGCAAAGTAATTAGAGGTAAAGTTAATGAGATCTAAGTGTTTTTATTGTTTTTATTGTACCTTGTTCACATTTTTATCAGTGAAGATTTCGGTGGAAATCTTATTGAAGATAACAATAACATACCAGTGAGAATAAACTACTACTGAGAATATTATATGTTCCAGTGAGAATGATATCTAATCCGTTCTCAGCCGTTCTCTTCTATTTATATTTTACTTGCTATTAAACTTATGAGAAACGTGCCCTCGAAGTTTGTTTGAACCAGACGCCACGATAAATGCTTATAGTAGAATAATGATGATAATAATAAATAATGATAATATCAATAATAATAATAATAATAATGATAATAATAATAATAATAATAATATGAATAATATATCTATGAGAATATCATCGATTCTTCTTAATGCTGTCGATAAAAATATTTGTGGAAATATCAATGAAAATATCCGAAAAATTTCAGTGAACAGAGTATCAAATTATTATCATAACATGACACTTCAATTCAAGCGAGGATTTTTGTATTTTAATATTATTGGAATATTGAATGCCATAAAAAGTCTGCAAAAAATTAAAAATTAACTACATTTTAAACAGTTTTTTCAGTAATTAATTTAATAATTAATTATTTTTTAATGACACGTATTTTAATTACTCAACGGAATTAAAATAACATCAGTGTAACCTAAAGTTTCGAATATTGTAACCATGGGATAAATAATATTTTTGCCTTTAAAACCATAATATTTTCGTTCATCAAAATCAGTAATAACAGCACTCACACGTTTTATTTCTTAACAAACATGGGAAAATTACCAATGAAGGATATTAATTGTAATTTTCTGGTAATAGTCAGCTATCAAACGATGGAATTAGATAAATATCATTGTTTATTTTTGAATGACTCATTATCGAAATATTTTCATTAAACTTATCCTCGATAGGTTATCTAGGTTTTTACCACGTTTTTCTTAGCTTCGTTTCGTGTCTGTCTGTCATCAAAAATTCAAACCTCAATTTAGAGCAATTCTGAAGATCCTAGAAACTTGAAGTTTGGCATGCATGCTTATGCTGCCTAACAATTCAAGATTTGATCATTAGAAATAATAATTGAAAAAAAAAGTTTGGGAAAAAATTAAAAGAAAATGAAAAACTAAAAATTCACGGTTCGGAATCGAGTTTTTTTGAACATCCAGACTTACCAACCCTGGAAATGGATTTGAATTGCTAAAATATTTAAACTAAAAGTAGAAAATAAATAAATATAAAAAACACTTTTAAAAAACACGTTTTTCTGATTTTTACAAAACTAAAAATAATGAAATAAAACAAATAAAATAAATTTAAAAAATAACGTTTTCTTAACGGACAAAAAAGAAAAACATTTACTCTTGCATAACATTACATAACATTTTACATAACTTTGATGTTATGTAGGAGTAAAAGCTTTTCTGTTTTGTCCGTTAAGAAAACGTGTTTTTAAAAGTTTTGTTTTGTTTTATAATTAAACCAAGATTATTTAACTAGAAACTAGATTTTAGTTCGGCTTTTGAACTGCAAAGTAGGAACCGGATTTTGTTCGTGTCTTTAAACCCCAAACGTTGAGACAGAATTTATGATCCGCATTGTGGTTGTCTTTGCTTGAAGTATGTCGAACGTCGAATTATGAAAATATTTTTAAAAAATAATAATTTTGCACCATTTAATTTTAATTCACAATCCATTTCGTTTTATTTCCAACTGTTGACTTGTAATTTCAGAAGTAATAGAAATAAAAACAAAAGTTGAACCAAAAAACACGCATTCATAACTAAATTTCCAACTTATATTCTATTTCTTTTTATTATACCGGCATGTTAAACATTTTTTTTCGCAATCAATGTAAATTAAAATTATTATTCCGGCTTATCATTAAAATTTCTTCACTCACTCCAAATTAGTTATTATTAAAAAATTTTCATTCACTTTAAATTCATTATTATTAAATTTTCTTCACTCACTGTTAATTAAAACAATTTATCCACAGTTTCAAGTGACCAGACGCAGACAGGCATTTCATGAGTTTCCACAGTCGACCTCGGCTTCAGTAAACGCGCAGGTCACTTAGCTCTGTACAGTCAGTGAGTAAACATGCACTGCCTGGTCAAACAACTGCTGGACTGCACTGGATAGAACTAAAGTGCAAACAGGCTTACTGAGCACATGTTAACTCCATCTGGAACATGGGATATGCAATCTGCAATATGTGAAACTCCATCTGGAACATGGGATATGCCATCAGCGACATGTGAAACTTCATCTGTAACATGTAAAATGCCATCTGCAACATATGAAACTCCATCTGTAACATGGGACATGCCATCTTTAACATGTAACAGGCCATCTGTAACATGTAACACGCCATCTGCAACATGTAAAATTCCGTCTGTAACATGGAAAATGCCATCTGCAACATGTGAAACTCCACCTGTAGCTTGTAACACGCCATCTGTAACATGTAACACACCATCTTTAACATGTGACATGCCACCTGTAACATGTAACACGCCATCTGTAACATGTATCAAGCAATCTGTAACAAGGAACTGAATTTTCACTCTGCCCATATAGACGTTATGATGGATGCATAACAGTAAATGATGTCATATGAATTGATATGAATACAATGAATTGATTTATCTCTAAAATGTCACATGAATCATTGGCATAAAATAGAGAAATATATATATATAGCTTTTTTCTAATTAAGAAAAAAGGGCAACTACACAATTGGTCACATACATGACAGGTTTACTGCTTATTAATAAAATGTCTATATTCAGTCTTTCAGACATAGAAACGTAGACAAAGACTATATCATAATCCAGACATAGAAACGTAGACAAAGATGATAT